AACTCCCTATCTCCCAATGTTGTATATTAGCCGAGTTTAACCATTTTCAAGAACAATTTAGATGCATATTTTATGTCCAAACCGAATCTGGAACTGTTTAACTCCATGTGATACTCAGCAAACATTACGCATATTTTTGCGTCCCTTTGTGTATATACGTTCACCCTATGGTCGCTGTAAAGTTAACTGCTTTTTAAACCATTAAACCTTGAATTATCCTGAATTGAATTACTCACCTGCATACCGATTTGGTTTGGCAAGTGATTCACCTGGAAGGTTGAATTCCTCGCTTATGGTCTTACTTTTTCTAATGGTTTGATAATGAGCAAGGTTCAACACAAACCTTCCTTAGGCAAGCATTTCCACTCCAACATCTTTGTAGCAATTAACTATCAACGGACATGAGAACGAAGAAGGTAGCGAACAAAGCTTGTTTTCTGTGATTATTCCTCTTGGCTAATACATCACAAATTTATATGGCAGCAGAAATCGCGTGGAAAAGGTTAAGATCGAAGCTACATACACTCTAGCGAAACAAATCAAAGGAAGGGGGGTTGAATTAGGGTAACGTCAATCGGTCACGGAATCATGTAAGTGACGTTAATGTCAGACAGACATGTGGGACCGGATGTTCCGTAAGCCAGTTCGAGTTCATAGGTCACTTAAGTTTCTTTTGGATGCGAAATTGTCTGAAGCCCCGATCTTAACCTTTTCTACGTGATTTCTGCTACCATATAAATTTGTGATGTATTAGCCAAGACGGACAGTCAGAGAAAACAAGCTTTGTTCGCTACCTTCTTCGTTCTCATGTATGACGACTGGTTTCGGGCAAATATGATGCAGTCGCACTTGAGCCTGGTTTCTTCCCACTACTACGCAGAGATACCGGATTGTGTTCTCGCGTTCTGTCCGATCTCAGAGGCGATTGGAATCCGACTGCTGGATCCGCAACTTTGCATCCAAAAGAAACCTGTGTAACTTTTGAAATTGAACTGGCCCACGAAACATCCGGTCCCACAAGTCTGTCTGACATTGACGTCACTTACCTGATTCCGTGACCCATTGAGCTATCCCTCATCCTGATGTATTAACCAAGAAGAACAGTCACAGAAAACAAGCTTTGTTCGCTACCTTCCTCGATCTCATGGCTACCACGGGTATATTCAGCCAGTTATCAACGGACGCTTGTGTGTGCGGGTTAATTACATGAGCATGTCGAATCTGTCGTGCCAGGACGTCTCATCGAGAATCCTTATCTCCGTGTGTATACTCTTGGGCAAACGGGTACTTCAAAACGTTCATAACGTCATCACTGCCAAATTTCAGAGAACTCGGGATTTCTACGCCAAAATACAAATTTTATATATAGCTGGCATTTAGAAACGAAGAATCGAATAATTCGTCTTCTCCCTAAAGGTGGTGCAGCGTGCCTTTCTCAAAGTCGATCTGTTGGGTTTGTCAAAAACTGTACGAATCAAGTTTCCGTGAAGAGTAACCTTCAACCGACACCTCATAGTGCTTATACATGTATGAATTTACGTGTGGAATCATGTAAGAACAACTGGGGTACCCTCCACAATGGCTCTTTAGGTCAGTTACTAGACCTGCCAGCTCTTCCATTGCAAAGCATACTTTGGATACTGCTGTAGAGGAAGATGTTGGTAGCTCAGGTAGCGTGGATGGTCGTTAGTTTGTTCGCTGAGCTGGGCATTTTGTTTGCTAAATTTCATTACCAATCGAGGTGACATCATCAGTGCGTTGTTATGGAACGTAGTGGAGCTTGGTGGTGGGTTGGCGGTTGGCAAACACCGACCCAACTCGGCGAACAAACCAACGAATTTGGCCACTATTTGGGCGAACCGGACTAGTTCCATCTATTTGGTCGTCAGACCACCAGTTCACACCTACGCTGAGCAGAGGTTGTGGCGACTAGACGTCCAAACCTGTGTTTGTAGAAAGAAAAGGCTTCCTTCGCTATTGTGGACAAATGACTGGCCTACCAGTCAATTCTTCACCCTCTTATTCCCAGATTTGACCTGACCCCGCGTGACCCGAACCATTCTTTGTCACACTCCGAACCCTAATGGCTACACTTATCTAGTACTGAATTCAGTCAACTGGAAAAGGTTAAAAGCCGATTGATAAGTCATCGTTAGAGAAGGACTTCGTAAACAATCGGTAGTTTTCTCTGACCAACCTTACGTCTAGCTGCACGCTGACTAAAAGCCTAATTTTCAGCTTCCGACCTTCACATCCGAGCTCTCGGACAGATAAGAGTCACATGATACTGGTCATAGCGAGCTTTAGCCGAAATATTTCTCAAAACCAGAACATTCTTTCGAACTGGATGAAATCTAGTCTGACATATTAGTGTCCGGAATTTCGCTTTATTCTCCCCACTGCATTGGGGAGAATCTAGATCCATGACACAGCTTTGTATTGTTCGAATGCTCGTTCCAGATGTTCCAGGACAGCATTAATGAAGCAGCTGTGCAGCGATTCTCGTTTTTTCCGCCGGGAGAATTCGAAAAAACGGTCTAACCAGATCTATTTTTGTATATTCAAAAACCGACATGCTCTATGCGCACGCCTTATCACTGTGGCCAGCAACGAGCGAATTCAGTTCCGGGTAAATGATATTCACATGGGCACTGTTCTGTTGGATACATATAATCTCCGATACCTATATGATATCTGTGATTAACAATACAACCGGTTTCTATCCATCGCACGCTCAACGTGATTTACTGCGCTTTATACCGAGTGCGTCGTGGGTGCGCAAGTCACGTTATTTATGGTGACTGAATTACGTCCGCCACTGTTACACCGCGTGCATTGTGGCTTTTGTCTACGATTGTATTCGGGTGCCGGTACACCAGACAGGTGCGCCAAATTGTTCGCTTATTTACTAATCACACACGAATCTGTCGGAATGCGTTACATTGACACCAGTCAACGTAATGATGCGTTTTGAAGGCATAGAATAGTAAACTGGCATACCCTAGTGATCATTCGACGTCATCATGAGAAGAACATGCACAAATGAACACGTCTGTACCGCACGACACTGATGTCCATACCATTATGATAACTTCAGTGGTTAGCTTTCGTCGTGGAGGTTAGCTGATGTTGTTTTTTCTTGTCTTATCACATCGATGCTTATCGGTTGCAATCATTGTTACAAAAATGATAATGTAAGTTTGAATTTTTCGCGTGTGCATGTTCTTTTCGTGATGGCATCGGATGAGCACTAGAGAATGTCACTTTGCTCATTCATGCCTCGCATACCAGATGTTAAAATCCTTGCGCGGCTACAGGATATGCACTGCTGATGCGGAACTCGAGTTCAGTGCTCCACCCCTTGGTGAGGACTCACCAGAATTGCCTTGTTATTCAGTCTTCAACTTTGTGCTTCTCATGGAATGTAATGGCTATAAGCCACCTCCGTGTTGGTGCAGAGACCATGTCCGGGAGCTGGATATTCCATGAACAAACAACGTCTATGGTTAAGGTAATTGTGTCGACTACTGATCCATAGGATGGGACTACGAATGCCCATCATTCACACTCGCTTTAGGAGGTTTTTATGCATCAAAGGACAGTTTTTTTCAAAGAATCGAAACGAAGAAAGAACGAGGTCGCCGAGCAGCGTTCGGCATGTGAGCTAGTAGAGTTTGGGTGCCTTTACTCAAACTCCTTTAATAAGCTTCGTGACCCTCCTTATTGTTCTGGTAGCCAGCCTCTGAGCCTGGTCTTGTAAAGAAACCCACAGGAGTCTCTAGCACAGTTCCTTCTGTTGACCCAAGAGTGCGATGGACAAGTTTGTTAGCGGTCCGTTGGCACTTTGTTGAGGTAACAAGATCGTGTTGAATGGACATAGTGTCCTTTCGTTTCACAAGAGCTTGGTGGAAAAATCGGTGGTTTCAAATTGGGCAACGTTTCGCTTTTGACACAAAAGCTTGAGCAGGCCAAGTGAGCAGGCCACCAAGTTGGCCACGTTTTAAGGCAGAAAGAGAACCAATCAGACGTCTTCACACTAGATCACTGTTGAGTGTCAATTAACAGCTCTTGTCGGTTAATGTGGTTGCCGAAATCCTGAATTGATGGGTTGGAGGAGTTTCTATTAGTTCCGATCGGCTCTTGTCCCTTCCACTTCAGGATACTTCAACTGGTGATTCACCGCGGATGCACCGATAAATTTTCCTTGCTCTTCGTGGGCTTGTGAGTGCTGAGACATCTTGGTTGTTGGGAGGGGAGGGAGGTGAGTAAGGTTAAGTGGAATTCATATGATGACTACTTCTCCATCTGATTATCGCACACCAAAATGTCTTAGCACAACCGACGCGAGACCGTTTTCCACGCGCTTGCCAGTTTCACGCCTTCTATTCTGTTAACACTGGAATGCTTGGTGATTTCTACCGTCTCGGCTATCAGTCTCTGTGACGTGGACCGAAGTTATCACCTCAAAACCTCATCATTTTCTACATCTATTTCGTGCCTGTGTCCAATGCACGGTCCGCAATTGCCGAGTCCTTCATAACGCTCGATATTCATCTGTGTTTCTCAGCGGTCTGCTTATTTTTCCGTTTTTCCCCCCTAATACCTAGGGACTATTGGTGCTTTGCAAAAGATCAGTTTTTAGGCCTGTGTATTCCTTCACGTTTATATCTGATTATGAAAATATGAGCAGGCTGTAAGCTGCGCTCATCCCAGTTGAAGCGAGTTACCTGATTACTGCTTGGCGTGTTTACCGGAAGTACATGATTTAAGGTGAATAGACTAGTTCCACCGTGGATTCACCCCAGCGAACAAAAAAACAATAAAACAAGAACTGTACCGTGAAAACCATTCATTTTGCTGTATAAAGAGTTTATCGCAATTGCCGATCCTTCATAACGCTCGATATTCATCTGTGTTTCTCGGCGGCTTGTTTATTTTCCTACTATTCTCTCCGATTTTGATGTGAAGTTCCCTGACCGTCTGTTCTCTATGGACCTTGGTGCAGCCGTTACACTCAATTTTGTAGACACATTCCCTGGTTCTGCTTGTCGGAATGCGATCCTTTAATTGCACCAGTGCAGAGCGCAGAGTGTTTCTCCTCTGGAAAGCTACTCTTATGTTATCCACGTTTAGAATTCATCGAATTACCTCCGAAGTCCCCGGTCTATATTGAATAACAGCGGTTCCGATCCATTCCCTGTTGGGTTACGCCACCGGTACCAACACCCTTTGCAACTGACGCCTAATCAAGTTAGCTGGATATGCACTACCCCGGAGTTCTTCTTTACCTCAGTTCGGGCCGCTGTCCAATCAGCTTCATCTGTCCACAGGGTCCTTACAAGCCTAAACATTGATGAGGCAATACTGGCGAATACCGACTTCGGATGGGCAGACGAAACGGCCCCAGTGTCGGTTGGCTTCTCGTACGATGTGGTCTTTAGTTTCGCCCCGACCCTATGTGTCATGCAGTCTAAAAAGGCCAGTTTACCCGAGATTGATCCTATCTCCATACTAAATTTGATGTGTTTGATGGTTGTAAAACCCAATAAACTTATCTTGTTTCATCACAACGAAAGTGTCATCCACATAACGCCAGAATATCTTGAGTGGGTGGGTGAATCCGGCTAGGGCTCTCTGTTCACTACCGGAATCAAAAGCTACCTGAAATCCCAATAAGTCCGAAGTTAGAAAAAAACGGAGGCTCATCACAGTCTTCACCGTAGGGTGGAGCACTGTTGTCCATCGACGACTTGCAAGCAGATTCCATGGGAGTTGTTTGGTTCTTCGACCAAACTTTATACTGTCAGCTGGCTTAAGACAAAACTGGTGGAAATCTAAAAGTGGTTTCTGAGTACACCCATTCGACTCCAACACCCTTTCAATGCCCAGCTACCGTGCCACCCGAAGGATGCATGGGGGCTGATATACTTTCAAGCTACCCAAGTCAAGTGGGTATGAGAATCCGGCTAGGGCTCTCTGTTCACTACCGGAATCAAAAGCTACCTGAAATCCCAATAAGTCCGAAGTTAGAAAAAAACGGAGGCTCATCACAGTCTTCACCGTAGGGTGGAGCACTGTTGTCCATCGACGACTTGCAAGCAGATTCCATGGGAGTTGTTTGGTTCTTCGACCAAACTTTATACTGTCAGCTGGCTTAAGACAAAACTGGTGGAAATCTAAAAGTGGTTTCTGAGTACACCCATTCGACTCCAACACCCTTTCAATGCCCAGCTACCGTGCCACCCGAAGGATGCATGGGGGCTGATATACTTTCAAGCTACCCAAGCCAAGACAGGAGCAGCCGAGAAGCCGAGACTAGGTTTGGAACACGGTCTTCGGGTTCGCGCCTTACTCTGAGATTTCCCGATTTCTTAATTTACCTATACATGGATATAACTTTCTTGCCGAAATTGTGTGCATGTTTTTTAGGGCCTCGTACAAAAGCTAGCTCGCATAAGCTATTCAGGCAACATCTCAATCGGTTGCATTGTTCGTGCGTTGTGTGAAACAGCCTCGTCGCCACATTACGCGGCTCCCAATCAGTGTTCTAGACAGTGAGACTCGCTGCGAAGTTCGTCCGATAGTCAACCGATTGTGGGTCGAAATTGGCTTCCAGGTGCTCCGACCTTGGGTTGGTGAACTGATCATCATTGTCGCAGGCCTGAGGACGCGCACGCACCGGAAGTCACGACAACTGCTCGACACAATGAGGTGCCGTAGTAACTATGTTGCGTTAGGCCAACCGCAACATGCAGTCCATCATCTTTGGTCAGCCACTCAATTTTGCACGGCTTAGTTGTACGTTCAGTCGACATAAGGCCGATGAGTCAATTGGTGTACACTGTCGTGTCACGTCCACCGGAAGAGACAGCCAGAGTGACTGAACCATGCCACCTTGCTGTTGAGGTCTGGCACGTACATCATGTGAAAAACACGGCCCGAACATTGAGTCACTCGCCAGAGCAACAGTGGAAATTGAAGATGGGTTTTCCACTCACAAGTGTGAAGAAGCCGCGAAAGAAGTGAGATACGACTTGTGTCAACTATGCTGAGACGACTTATTGATAGTATTGCTCGACCCAGTAATTTCCAGACGGAACTGTGCTGAAAGGTGCGGTGGTACAGGGAGTAGGCAACCTGGCCGGTGTCTAATTCAAGAAACATCAAGAGGCAAGGATTGAACTCAAAAAATGGAGGTGTAGGTTTTCTGAAGTTGTTGAGCCGATTAGCTGGAAGGCCAGTGTGTACCACAAAATATTTACACCCAAAACCAATAAACAAAAAGCCAAGCAAAGTTCATGACAAAGGTAACCGTTTGTTGGAAACGGAGGTCCAGTTGAGTCTTTGAAGCCTATAGATCCTTACAAAGCCGAATATCGATTTCCCGAAAAACTTTGTAGCAATCCGTCTTCCAGGTTAAAACAGCTGGATTTAAAGGCAGTAGCTTTTGCTCAAAGCATTGTGTTAGCTGCATATCACAGATTTTGCGGTTTTCTCCGCTGATAGATTCAGCGCCACATTTCAGGAGATGCAGTCCGTATACCTGATATCGTGACCGTCCAGGCTTGAAGATATCTACGTATCTCAAACAGCCGCATATTCTCGCTTTGAGAACAAATTTATGCGGTAAAGAAAATGATGTAAAGTTTACCCATGTCAATATGGTTTCCTATATCGGCATGCATCTGCTGTGTTCAGTTACCCAATATATTCTGAAGGTGGGTCTACACCAATACTGCAAAAACGTAGCCATACTGGTGAACTTAAGTGTGTTCTATCACTCGGTATAGAAAACACATCATTCCACCAATGAGGAGTGGGTCCCTGCTGAGAGTTTTCTGTTCACCGGAGCGCCGTTCTCCTGAATTCTCCTAAAAAAATGGTGCCCATCTAAGATTCGTTCCCTGACTTTGCCAGTTTTGCTATTTTCGGTTACTGAATACTGTCTATGCTTGTTGTGTTTGTGGCCTTCATTGTATGGTTCCCGAGGTAACAGGAAGGCGATTGAACTTCTATCGCATTAATTTTCCTGATCATAATGATACAAAGTGAGGAAATGTTATTCAGAACACTTTTACACACTCGGTTAATTGATTTAACCTTTCACTAGGGCTTCGTACCGAGATTCGAGCTTCTGGAAGCCTCCAGATAAAACTTACTTCTACCGACGTGATGAGGCATCTTGAATAACTGAAAATGGTAAACGCAGATACGGTAGTCTAAAGCAGCATACACCTAGAAACAAACTCTACTCAAGTATGGTGGGACTCGTCCTGCGTCCCTATCGACTTTTCAATCTTCGCATCCCAATTTTTCTTCAGTCTGATCGCCACTCTGCCATGATATTCGCTGATTCGCCAATCTGTTATATCTGGCTGCTGATCCGCACCAGTGCCTAGTGCCGGAAAAGAGACTCACAGAAGGGAACACAACAACTGTATTCCGAACGAGCGAGTGCGAGAGCGTGAGTGCGTGCGAGTGCAAAAATGCAACGGTCTCAATCTATTTATTGAAGGGATACTGTCTGAACTTGGTCCAATGCTGAAGCATGCGGTCTGACTTTGGTATGAGGCCGTGAGACGCTGGACATTGCGGGGGGCGTTGTCTGTCTGGTCAGCATCTAGCGGAGCTGAGAGTTTCAGTAGATTTTGGGCATTCCGTGATTGCTTTCTTGAATCTGACCTTCCTGATAATATCTACAAGAGCAACACATCAGTACCTCTAGACACAGTTATTTTTTATCCAATCTTATACAGCCACTACAATCTAATGATTTTCATGCTCCAGTCGGCAAGAGTCTTGACTCATTCACACAATTTTATGTTGATCCAAACCACTTCTTCTCCTTTCTATGTTTCACGGTCTATTCGTATCTGCA